CCCAACCCACTGCCATCGAGGTGATTCTGACTTAGAGACTGTATACAGGGTGTTTCTGAGACTATAAATCTTTACGGAATCAGACAGCCTCATCTTTCTCCAGAGGAGCTGTTGGTGTGTTTGAACCCTTCACCTTGCAGTTACAAGCCCACCATCTAACCTACTCCATCACTACAGGATAGTGTTAAACTAACTCTTAATATGCTGTTAAGTGCTGCTGAGTTGGTTCCGACTCATAGCAATCCTGTATCAGGCTTCTGAGCAGTGGCTGGTGGGTTTGAACCACTGACCTATAGCTACCAGTGCAGTGCTCATCTTACACAGTCACTGGGAAACCAAAAAAGTCAAGTAACTTGCTTTGTTGCAATATTTGCTTTCTTGTGGTGCTCTGGAATGGAACCTATAATATCTCTGAGGTATGCCTAAACAAGAAGCATTAAAAAGTTCCCATGAACTTTTTGAAGCCCCCTCATATTAATAATTATGAAATGAACAAAATGGTTACAGAATTTAAAGCTTCCAGGTAACAAGTTTATAAATAGGCTTTTAAAGACAGAATAACCTGTTGACCTTGGTAATTATTTTCCAAAATGACAGGAGACACTATGTTTTTCCTAAGATGCTTAACACTTGCAATCAATAGTTTGCAACATTTTCTCATTCTCTATGTGCTCTAATGCTCTGCTACATGAATCTATGTATGTATTTATGTATTGCAAACATCTAGATGGACACAAGAACATATATATGGGAGTCCTGGTGTAGCGCTGTGGGATAAAGCAGTGGACCTCAAGGTCGGCAATTCCAACTCACCAGCCGTTACTTGGAAACCCTATACAGGGTTTGCTATGAGTTGGAAATGACTTGACAGCATTTAACAACAACAACAACAACAACATACACATATGTATATTTTTTTACATATTTGAGATCTGAAATTTCCAGGAATTACCCAATGTATCATTTTTAAGTTTTGGAAGCTGGTATTTCAATTTCAATCGACTTCTCTTGGGACAAAAATAGGAACAACAAAAATCCTCTACATTCTCCTACATAAACCCACTTTAGTTTTCAATAGTTTTAGAATGATTACTTGCAAACTTGCTAAAATCAGACCCCTCTCTTCAAATATTCCTGCATATAATTCATGGTATACTATAAATTCAGGTATCTATGTTTGAAGCCACCACAGTATCTTTGGTGGCTTCAAACGTGGGTACTGTACTGTGGTGGTCTGCATGTTGCCCAGATGCCAGAGGCTGTGCTCTGGTATTTCAAATTTCAGCAGGGTCATTCATGGTGGACAGGTTTCAACAGAGCTCCCACACTAAGACAGACTATGGAAAAGCAGCTGAAAAATCTAAGTTTTTTACTTCTGAAAAACTGACTAAGAGCTTTTGTAACTTCAGTTTATTAACAAGGAAATCCTGATGAGACAAGTTTACACACCCAAATTTAAGATTGAATAGTGAATATTGCATCAGCCTTGGCTTTATGAAGTACCCACTTTGAGTCTGGCACAGTTGCATGTGCTGTAAATAGCAAAGTCTTTCCCTGTCATGGCGGGAAAACTTTATGGATAGCAGTGGAACAAGATCAGGTGACATTTCTTTCTGTTCTGTACAGGGTCACCATGAGTTAGAACTGCCCTGGAGGCACCTAACTATACAACAAGAAGCCTGCAAAGCAGTCACCCTGATTCTTTCCTCCCTTACATCTTGGGGGCCACATACCCTATTTACCTGGAACAGTACTGGTTTATGCCCTTCTCCCAGCATAATGATTAATAGCACGCTTGCTAGTTTCCCAAACTACCCGAATATAGACGATTAAGTGTATGTGAACACCCTTTCTATAATCTTGTCTAGTTAGTAACCAAGTGCCAAACATCTCTACCACTAGCTCCTTGTTCTTCTACTGATTTCGTCTGAAAGAGGACAGTAGCCTTCCTTCATCCAATTTCCCTCCTTGTTGTACCTTTTTGCATATGCTTTTTCTCTTCCTGGAATAGCCTCCTTTTTTCCATTTTGTGAACACCAACCTGGGAACTCACATTAAATGGCATTTGTGCTGTGAAGTATTATCAGTCATTTTCTTCTCTATGCCTCCTAAAATAATAACTTAATTATTTATGTTATTATAATGTGAATAACAGTCAAAATGTATTGAATGCTCATTAGATGCCAGACACTGAGCATAAGCAATTTCAAGTATTTATTGCATTTAGTCCTTATGCTAACTCTAAATGGCAGGTTTTCATTTCCTCATTCCAAAGCTTTTAACCAGGCCACTACATCATGTACTGTCATTAATAGGTCTCTGTATTTACTACATTTCAATCTATACTGCAACTCTGCCCAACCTGATCATCCCTGTCCTTTTTAACTCACAGTATATATTTCATAGGAAGAACATCACATATGGTAATTAGTCTTCTGTCTGTCTTCTCTACAAACGATGCTCCCCGCCATGACAGGGAAAGACTTGCAACTATGCCAGAGCCAAAGCAGGTACTTCATAAGGCCACGGTTGATACAATATTTACTATTCAATCCTAAATTCTGGTATGTAAATTTGTCTCCTCAGGATTTCTTTGGCATTAAACTGAAGTTACAAAAGGGGAAGTGCTGACATTGTACTATTTATTAACAGAAGTAATTGCCAAGGTTTAAAATGAGCAGATTTTTTTACATAAAAAAAGATTTCTACTTCTCTTGAAACCATGGGTCAACGTTTTTACATATAGTAATCAGACAGCAATGACTGCCTCCTTTAGGTATATCCTTCCTAGGACAGAAGGTCAAATGTTAGCTGTCATAGTTATGCTTGTGCCATTGATTTTTATAAGAGGTAAAATGAAGTATGTCTAGTACCTATGTCTTTGCTGGCACTGTAGGATAAGCACTGGTTCTTAAGGGTACTTTGAACTGCAAGGTCGACAGTTCAAATTCACCAGCTGCTCCTCAGAAACCCTATACAGGGTCGCTATGGATCAGAACTGACTAGGCGGCATTTAACAACAACAACAAAATGTCTTTGTTAAAAGTTATTTATTCATTTCATACAAACTAGACAGTGTGGATTTAAATACAAACCACAGAATAAAATTAACTTACCCCTAGAAGGGGTCGGTGGGAACTGACTCAAAGGCATTTTAACAGTATCCTTCACAGATGATATTATATCTCAAAATGAATTACCAACCCAACAATTAATTTACTGATGGCCTTTATCAGCTGAAAATTTACACTGTGGGCTTTTATAATTACACAGACACATACACTCATAGTCAGACCCTCAGTCCATGGGGAAAGACAGAGAGCAAAAGGGTCTCTGGAGCTAAGGCAAAAAGGGAAAACCAGAAGAGGTTGGGATCAAGCTTGGTAAGAATAAAGATAAAAGAACCCCTAGGAGAAATTTATATGCAAAGACATACAAACACTATTTAAGTTGGGAATTTAAATACAAATCAACAGAGGGCTGTCAACAATATAGCTTGACAGTAATGTTAATTAATATTTTAAAAAATACAGAGCTTAAATTTGCCTGCATTGATCAATCAGTCTCAACCTTTGCTATTGTGTCTAACACAGCACATGAGTAGATGATTTACATTTTAAATTTTTGCTTGTCCCATACTCACATCTAGGGAAGTAGATTAAATATAAAGAGAAATAATAGGGAATGGTGAAGAGCTCTGTAACAATCATTAATAGAACCTTATAACTCAGTGGCCACATATCATATTCCTCTGGATGCTAAAAGGTTGAGATAAATGTCAACTCTTATCATTTCCAAGTGAAAAAAAAAATCTATCAAAAATATCATAAAAAAGAACCAGGCTTACTCAAATCGATTTTCATAGGTTCTAAGCTCAGCCAGTTAGTTTACATTTCAATCTTGGACAGCCTTTTAGAGAGAAAAAAAATTTTAACCTATACTATTAAAATCAAAGCAATAGGCTATCATACTATGATCATCCATAGTACTTGCTTACAAACTGTGCTCTGATGAATGCTCACCATCTGGTCACATGAGGGGGAAGAAAAGAGACTTTTACTGTTAAATATCATTTCCTTTTGTCTGTTATATGCTGGATACTCACTTTATATAATTTTTGAAGATTTGAAAATCACTTATTTCCTCAGAATCTGTTACTAAAATTTTAAATAACCCAATGATGACATAAAAATCCTGTACCATTTATTGTCATATTTGGGAATCCTATTTCCTATTGTAGTTTACTAAATTCTATTTACTCCTGGAATGTCTTGATTTATAAAAGTAAGAAAGTGAACTCACATTAAGACTGGGATAGTCACGTTTCTTTACCAAAAATAAAGAGGTGCTTAACTGATAGAACTTACCTATTAGTAACGCTTATAAATTGTTAAGGAAATACTCTACTCTAAGCTCACTAGACTCCTGGTGTGGTGCTGTAGGATCAGCACTGGACTGTGAACCACAAGATTGGCAGTTCAAACGTACCAGCTGCTCCTTGGAAACCCTATACAGTGTACCTATGAGTCAGAACTGACTCAAGAGCACTTAACAACAACACAAGGTGAAAAGTCTAATATAATCAAATCTGCTCTGAATAACATAGCAATTATCTCAAGCAACATGCTTCATAAAAATATTTATACCTTAATTTTTGCATTAATATAGTGTGTAACATTTAATTCCTAAGGTTCTGTAGTGAAAACATAAAATATTCATTTAATGCTGAGCTTTTCATAGGAATGCAGTTTCCTTGGGATCATAAAATAGTTCATTAAGAATAGTGACAACAACTGGGTTCTGAGTGTGAAGACAAAAATATTTGGAAGCTATAACAATAGGTAAAAAGAAACATGTCTGTTTCAATAACATTTAGATATTCGAGGCTATGAGACAACTGATAAAAATGAGAAGTACAGATAGTGGCTATAGAAAAGGAGTTCAGTAGAGGTTAGGGAGCAAATTCACACCATCATCCATCTCAGCTTACTCTGTCTTACCTGAGGAGGAGTAGGTGTAGATGTAGGTCTCCCTATGGGTGGAGTAGGATTTCTGCTGCCACCTCCAGACATAATCTCCTCTGTTATGTCTTTACCTCCCTGGTTTGGATCTCGAATTCTTATCTATAAAGTTAAAATAAAACAACATATGTGAATATGGGGTGTCTTATGTAGAAGACTTAAAGGCAAATGAAGTATCAAAAGTTGTAAACTGGGAAATCTACCAAATAGCAAAGTTTGTTAATCATCAGAATGGCTTTGTTTCAATCTCAGAATCATTTGGGATCATTCAAAGGGCTATTAAATAGCCCTTTGAATAAATTATTAAATATTAAATAGCCCATGAATAAACAGGCTATTAGAATAACCCATTGAAATAGGTTCATGTTTGGAAGAATTTCTAGATCAAAAAGGGAAAGCATTTATATTTGTCTCATTGTTGTTGTTAGGTGCCACAGAGTTGACCCAGACTCACAGGAACCCTTCGTACACCAGAGAGAGACTGCCTGGTCCTGCACCATTCTATAAGTTGTTAAAATGTTTGATCCCATTATAGCTGCCATTGTGCAACTACATCTCATTTAGGGTCTTCCTCTTTTTCATGGACTCTCCACTTTACCAAGCATGATGTCTGTCTCCAAGGATCCTTCCTGACATATCCAAAGTAAGAGAGACAAAGTCTCGATGTCCCTTCTGCTAAGGAGCTGTGGCTGTACCTCTTCCAACACAGATTTATTTGTTCTTTGGGCACCCCACTGTACTTTCAGTAAGGTTTTGCTTATTCATTGTCCAACATTCACATGCATAAGAAGTGACTGAAAGTACCAAGGTGTGAGTCAGGTGAACCTTAGCCCTCAAAGTGATACCTTTGCTCTTTAACACTTTAAGGAGGTCTTGTGCAGCAGATTTGCCTAATTCAACAAGTCGTTTGATTTTTTTGAATGTTGATAGTGGATCCAAGCAAAAATAAATCTTTTGACAACTTCTATCTTTTCTCCATTTTATCATGATGCTATTTATTGATCCAGTTGTGAGGATCACTTTCTTTACACTGAGGTATAATCCATACTGAAGGTTATAGTCCTTGATCTTCATCAGTAGTGCTTCAAGACTTCATTGCTTCCAGTAAGCAAGGGTGTATCATTTGCATATTTGCAGGTTGTTAATAAGTCTTCCTCCAATGCTAATGCCAAACTCTTCTTCATATAATAATAATCTAGTTGTCAAATTATTTGCTCGGCATACGGACTGAATAAGTATGGTGAAAGATACAACTCTGATGCATACCTGTCCTGGTTTTGAGTCATTTAGTATTCCCTCATTCTGTTCTAATGACTATCTCTGTTCTATGTACAGGTTCCTCATGAGCACAACTGACTGTTCAGCAATCTCCTTTATTTGCAATGCTATTTGTAGTTGGTCGACAGCATCTACATAGTCAATAAATCACCAGTAAACCTCTTTCTGCTCCCGTAAAGATTTACAGCCTCGGAAACACTGTACAGGGTCGTTATGGGTCAGAATCGACTCGACAGCACTTAACAACAACAACAAACCTCTTTTTGGTATTTTCTGCTTTCAGCCAAGATCCATCTGATGTCAGTAATGATAGTTCTTGCTCCATATCCTTTTCTAAATCTGGCTTCAATTTCTGGGAACTCTCTGTAGGAATACGGCTTCAACTGTTTTTGAATTATCCTCAGGAAAATTTTATTTGCATGTGATTTCATGGGTGACCTTTCTTTTAAATGGGCAAAAGTATGGATCTCTTCCAATCAGTTGGCCAAGTAGTTGTCTTTCAAATTTCTTAGCATAGACAAGTTGAGTGCCTACCTCCAGCACTGCATCAGTTTGTTGAAATATTTCAATTTGCATTATCAAATCCTCGAGTCTTATTTTGTGCCAATACCTTTAATGCAGTTTGGTCTTCTTCCTTTTAATACCATCGGTTCTTGATCATAAGATACCTCTTGAAATGGCTGAACATAAGCCAATTTCTTTTTGGTACAGTGACTCCGTACCATCTTTTTTTTACTTTTTATTGTGAATTGAGTGAAGGTTTACAGAACAGATCACCAGTTTTACATTCAGCAAGTCATATACTTTGTTTCATTACAATGATTATAATCCCCATCGTGTGCCCTCAGTTGGCAGTATTTAACTCTATTCTTTTAACTCTTACACTCATCCCTATGTCTCCTACTACCTTCATCTTTTCTCCAACCTCCCTCTTGTTGTATTGCCTGCCCCGTCATCCATGTGTCTATCTTCTAGCCTGTGAATAGTTCCCTCTTCCCCCAACATTTCCTAGTATACATCATAGAATGTTTCATTTAGCAAGAAAATCTTTCCTTAACTTTTTACAACAGTGGTTGTCTTTTTATGATTGTCTAATTTCACTCAGCATAATGTCCTCCAGGTCCATCAATGTTGTGAGGTTTTTTGCAGATTCATCATTATTCTTCAGCGTTCTGGAATATTCCATTGTGCGTCTGTATCAAAGTTTGTTTAACTACTCTTCTGTTGATGGGCTTTTAGGCTGTCTCCATCATTTGCTGTTGAAATAGTGCTGCAGTGAACTTGGGTGTGCACTTATCTAATCACGACACAGCTCTTAGTTCTTAAAGACATACCAACTAGAGGGAATGCTGGGTTACATGGTATTTCTATTTCCAACTTCTTGAGAAAGCACCATATTGTATTCCACAGTGGTTATACCATTTTACATTCCCACTAACAGTGTAGAAGAGTTCCAGTCTCTTCACACCCTCACTGGGATAGAAATTAGAATGGAATTATATCTATAGATTGCTTTGGAGTTCTGGTGTGGTGCTGTAGGATAAGCACTCAACTGCAATGTCAGTTTGAACCACAAGACTGGCGGTTCAAATACACCAGTCACTCCTCAGAAACCCTATACAGGGTATCTATGAGTTGGAATTGACTCAATAGCACACAACATAGAGTGCTTTGAATAGTGTTGACATTTTTACAATGTTGTGTTCCTATCCATGAGCAGGAGGTATTCCTCCATTTTTACAGGTCTCTTTTGGTTTCTTGTAGTAGTGTTTTGTAGTTTTCTTTGTACAGATCTTTTGTTTCTCTGGTTAGAATTATTCCAAAGTATTTCATTTTTGGGTTGCTTTTATAAATGGCAGAGCTTTCTGATTTTTTTCAGAGCTCTCTTTATTAGTGTAAAGGAATCCAACTGATTTTTGTATGTTGGTCTTGTACCTTGCCACTTTGCTGAATATAATAATAAGTTCCAATAATTTTCTTGCAGAGTCTTAGGGATTTTCTATACATAGGATCATAATGTCTGCAAATAGAGTTTTGTTCTTCTTTGACAACTTGGATGCCTTCAGTTTCCCTTTCTTGCATTATACGTCTGTCTGGCTAAGACTTTCAGCACAATATTGAATGGGAGTGGCAATAAAGGGCATCCTTGTCTGGTTTCTGTTTGCAAGGGAAACGACTTCAGTTTTTTGCCTTTGAGAGTCATGTTGGCTGCTGATATTGTATATCTATATATCAATTTATATGATCATGTGATTTTTATGTGTTAGATTACATTGATTGTTTTTCTAATGTTGAATCATTCCTGCATACCTGGTATGAATCCTACTTAGTCATAATGTATCACTATTATTTTTATATATATTGTTGAGTTCTATTGGGTAGGATTTTGTTGAGAATTTTTACATCTATGTTCGTGAGGGATACTGGTCTATAATTTTCTTTTCCAGCGATATTATTTCCCTGGTTTTGATATCAAGGTTATACTTGCTTCATAAAATGAATTTGGGAGTTTTCCATCCTTTTCTATATTAGTTTGAGTAGAATTGCTGTCAGCTCTTCTCTAAATGCTTGGTAAAATTCACCAGTAACAGCACTTGTTGTTGTTATGTGCTGTGGAGTCCCTTCTGACTCCACATACGTATAGCGATCCTATACAGGGTTTCTGAGGCTATAAATCTTTATGGGAGCAGAAACCCTCGTCTTTCTCCCGTGGAACAGCTGGTAGTTTCGAATTGCTGACCCCGAGGTTCACAGCCCGATTCGTAACCACTACGCTACCAGAGCTCCTTAGTAAAGGCACTAGGCCTTGACTTTTTTTAAAGACGACTCGATCAATTT